TACTGCTTCTTAAAGTAATTTTCTAGTACAAAAAATTTAATTTTTGTACTAGAAAACTGTTTTAAGAAGCAGTAAGAAAGCCGTCCCAAACAAAACCTATAGCTCTTGTTTGGTTAATTTTGTCTTCTTTTGTATTTTGGAGCTACTTTTGACTGCTGGGCTCATGTAATTTTTGTTATATGAATCTCAATTTCCCCACAAAGACATGGTGCACATAAATACAGTAATTATTAGGAATTTAAAAAAGGTAAAAACTTTTCGTCTACTTGGTGCAAATACTTGAACCAAGGGAAAATAATGCAACACAGATCAATGTTTATAAATTTTATCTCTGCGACTAACAAAACTGTACAAAAATAAAACGCTACAACCAAAAAGAAACCAAAACAGAAACTAAAGATACCAATAAATCATAAAAGTACCTGCGGGTCAGCGCTCTCATTCCCAGTATCAGAAGAGCCCTCTGTTGCACTGCCACCGCTGCTCCTATTCCAGATAAAACCAATCAAAAATTCAGAAAATCAACAAAACACAATCCCCAGCCAATATCAGAGAAACGAAGTCCTCAAAAGAACAAAGCCCCATATTGTTCATACCTCTGCGAATTTTCCTCCTCCCCTGAGCCCGATGCCGCCTTCCCTCCTTCCCCAAACTTCAACAGAGCCCCCTTTGACTTGATGTTCCCGGAATCTGCATTTGGGTAGCCCATGCCCTGTAAAATTAAGCCGAAATATATCACACCCAAATCTTCTCACAGACGCTACCAACACACTACCTATCTACCATAACTACCGGAGTCATGGAGGGATGAGCATAGACTGCACCAGGAGCGTACATCGGCGAGTAGGCGATAGGCGTAGCATAAGGAGACATAATATGCTGCAAATGAAACGGGGAAAGGCTCAGTTGTCACTTAATTCAAAGAAAAGTTTCGAATTGGAGCATCGCAAGTCGATCGAGATCAAGCAACCTGACCACCCCAAACCGGCGGGAAGAAGGCCGTTGGAGCCGCTGCGTTTCCGCTATAATAGGCCTGCAACGAGGCAGCCCATTCAGCGGTGTACGCCGGCGGAGGCGTCGTGGCGGCGGTAAAAGGAGTCGAATTTGGGGGCTTCGCCGGCGTCGAAGTCTCCCCCGGCGATCCCATCGTCGGGGCTTTGGATTTTACTTCAGCGAAGATGGTTCAGAGTACGGGAAATCGAAATTTTGTCGCTAGGGTTTCGGTATGCCACGATAGAAAGTCTGCTTGCTCTGATTGCATATATTTATAATTTTATATATAAGCAACGGTAGATTTTTTATTCTAAAAATAAAAAGTTTA